GAGTCGTCCCTGCCGGCGCTGGAGAGCGGAGAGAGAGTTCGGAGGGAGCGCTGACGGCAACCGTAACTCTTTCTGTTGTAGGCAATGGGTTCATGGATGGGAAGGAGCTACAAAACTTCATCCAGGAGCTGCAGCAGGCACGGAAGAAGGCAGGCAGAAGGCAGGCTTGGTAGGTTAACGTTTCGCCCCCACGTTTCCATCTTCTTCGGGAAAGAAGAGTTTTCTTGAGCAAACTCCAGTGCCCCAGTTCCTTCCTTCTCGTCTCTCTTGCCGTCACACGGTTCACGCACCTGCCGCACCAGGGAAGTAGCTCCGTTAGAAATGAGCAGGTTGCAAATGAAATAAATCGTCTGCTTTGGAAAGGTGAGGCCAGGGTCCACCTCCCTGGAGAACAGGTCCCGCTCATACCGAGCCAGGCTACAAGGTGATATTTCTGACAGTGATTGAAAAAAAAAAAAGTCAAGACATGCATGGACGTTTTCTTTTTGTCTCGGATGGGACCTTATCCCATTGCAATTAATCTTACCCGATCCAGATATGTACTCTCGTTAAAACGGAGGCGAAGGAGGGGGGGAGAGGAAAAAAAAGAAAAAGGAAAAAACAACACTTCAAGGTAGCTGGACTCTTGTTTTAATTGCGTACCTAATGGGCAGTACGGGCTGAAATGCATTTCTGCCCCTTGGTGGTCACTAAATAGATCTGCAGATGACTGCTAACACTTTTTGCCCTTCAGCAGTGTTAAACACCAGGAGTATGAGAACCAAATCCTGGATGTTTAAATTCTTCAGAGAGACAGTGAAGTTTTTGACAATGTTGTCAAAACACTTCTGTGCATGAGTTATTAAAACATTAATTATTAATTTCTTCCAAATTATCCCCAAGTGAGGAAAAAAAGAGACAAGAAAGAAAAAAAATTAAAGATTCTGTGTAAAGATTTGAACTAAAAGCAAAGTGAACATTTTTAACAAATAAACTACCTTTAAAATAGTCAGTTTCTGAGCCCGGCCACTTTTTAGCATCAAAGTCTAAAATATAACCTAATGGAATCAGTTTAAATGAATCTATACTAAAAGACTTCTGCAGAAACAGAAAACAAAATTATAATTTAACTGGATGACATGTGTGCATGGAGGTAATAGATTAATACTTTGCAATATGAGTGCCTCCAAATTGATCAAAAGCTTTTCCATAATTAATTTTGCTTTAAAAGTTGCCATATATTTTAGAAGTAAATACAAAAAGAAAAAATTAATATCAATCTTAATTGATTTTGTGGAAAAATATATCTTCTTATTAGTGGTATGAGTCTAAACTTTACACATATGAAATTCTAGGGACCAGTTAATTCTTCTTAGAGTCATTGGTGTAGGCTCTCATTTTCATGTGTTTAAGTTTAAACTAAAATTTAAACTAAAATAAAACCAAAACAAACTCAACCCCCCCCCAAAAAAAAACCCAAAGAACCGCACTTGTTCCCCCTCCCCAAAAAAAACAACTGAAAATTGAGAAAGGAATGTGGCTTTTAGAGGGAAAAAGTCTATTTCTTTTTTCTATAGTAAATATTAAACACAACTTCAATACCTTTCAAGTATTGCAATAGAACAAATCTGTCTTCTAAAGTGCAGGAAACTTCATTATTCCCAGCAGAAAGAAGATATTTAAGCTTCTGTATATATAGTATGAATGGCATTGTTAGTAGAAATACTAACAAACTATTCAGTAGTTAAAAAAATAATTAGAAGCTCAAGGACAAAAATATTTATCATTTTAAGATCTGATTCTTTTGTCAAAAAAGCAAGTATGCTGCTCAAAGTAACACTGAAAGCCTCACAGCTATCCTATCTGCTACACACTTTGTAATTTATGTGGTGTGTTTTTAAATAACCCTTGTCTGTACATCACACTATATTTTAGAAATACTCAGGTGTTTAAGTTTTCCTGTCTCATTTCTCTGATTCAAACCTGACTTTGTGGTGTTCTGCTGTAAAGAGAAATCTGCAGTAGCAATATAAAATTCAGCATTTGGCCAGTTGGCTGTGGAGTAAGGCTGTATGTCAGGTTTCAAATCTAACCTGATTCTTGGATTCGAAGGCTCATTTGCCAAACAAGCATCTCATTAGTTCATTTCCTGTCTCACGGGATACTAATTCAGTAGCTTTGAATTCCTATTCTTTTGCCAGACGGGACACATTGAGAAACTAGTGTAGGGTATATGTCATTTCCTCGTCTGTCCTTCTTTTAACCCCCCAAAGCTTCTTTGCCATCATTAACTTCTGCATTTCAGGTCACTCTCCTGCTAACTATTTTTGAAATATTCAATTATGCATTCTCCATAGCTGGATTTTACATCAGTCATACTGTATGCATTAAAGAACCACAGTGATTCTGTCATTGAATAGGATGGTTTAATATTTCTCAATATTCTTCCCAAGTACAGAACTGTTCTAATTATGTTCTAATGCTAATCCTTGTATTAATCCACTCAGTAAGCCTCTACTTTCACAGCTGCTTTTTCTCAGATGGAGCGGTAGCATGCAGCTTGATTCAGTCTAGCCCCAAAGTGGGAAGGGTGTACTCAGAAGTTTTGGGACTTGGGCTTTGGTAACATACCTTTTTGCTTTGTACATTATGGTAGATAGTGAATTGGTCTGATATAATTTCAGACATGTTAAAAGAACTGCCTCTTTTTTAAAGATGAAAGCTATATAAGCATAGCTTCCATTTATTGTGCCCCACGTTTATGCAATACATTCTCTATTTGGGTTATGCCAATTGCCTAAAGAAACTCAGTTATAACTAACACAGAAGTTGATAAAGTGTCAATAGGTGGATCTTGGCTGAGCTGTTCCACATCCATTTCTCACTTTCTCTGCATATGATTCTCTGATGATGACAATATTTCTTCAGAGAAATATGTTATTTAATAGATGTTTATGAATACAGTCACATCAGTGTTTCTGTAGTGCCATCTATCCTTCCATTTTCA